GGGCCTCGGTCGGGATCAACCTTCGAGACCAGAGACGGCCTCGGTCGGTCCGCGGTCGGGATCAACCTTCGGGACCAGAGACGGCCACGGTCGGCCTCGATCGGGATCAACCGTCGGGACCAGAGACGGCCTCGGTCGGGCCTCGGTCGGGAGCAACCTACGGGACCAGAGACGGCCTCGGTCGGGACTCAGTCGGGAGATCACCCGTCGGGAGAACAGCAGTCGCGATCCCTGGGCCTCAGTCGGGGGATGCTCTGGCGTCAAGGAGCACCGACCAAGGTGAATGTCGGGGTCGGGTGGAACAGTATCGGGACCAGAGAGTTGGTCGGGCAGCGGAGTCGGCGGAATATGCAGAGGCGGCGTCTCGGGAACTCAACCGTCAGGAGGCCAACCGTCGGGAGATCAACTGTCGGGAGGTCAACCGTCGGGAGGAGGGCAACCGTCGGGGAGTCACCGGCGGTTCCCAACGGTGTATTCCGGCGGTCGGGTGGCGGGTTCAGGGACTCCTCAACCCTGCGAGGACAGTGACGGTGGCCGATTGACGATCCGACGTCGGAAACGGGAGAACGGCGGCGCCGAAGGTGTCGCAAATCAGGGCTACGGCGACGGCGACCTAGGGCAAACGGCGGACAGTGGTGTAGAGGTGGCGACTCGCGGCGGTAGCCCGGCCCTGGGGGTTTTCCGGCCAGGGGAACACGATCCCGTCGTCAGAATGGTGGTCCGACGGCGGGGGGATGCCGAAACGCGGTGGCGACGGTGCGGGAGGCCAACCGTCAGGGGCGGAGCCGGCGGCGTATTCCGGCGATCGAGGGGTGGATTTGGGGACACCTCAGCCCTGCGAGTTCAGTGACGGTGGCCAAACGGCGATCCAACGCCGGTGTTGAGAGATACCGGCGCTGAAAGTATCGCCGCGCAGGGCAGTAGCGGCCGACGGTGCTGCAGCGGTTTCCGGCGGTGGTTGGGTGGGGACGGGGGTTATGGAGGATGGCGACCACGATGGTGATGAGGCGCCGGGCTGAAAACGCCGGCAGCGGCGAGTTCGCCGGTGACGTCGTTTCGGGGCTGACGAGAGCGGCGGCTGGGGGCGGTTTCCGGTGAATCGCCCAGGGCCGGAAACCGCCCCAGCCGCCGCTCTCGTCAGCCCCGAAACGACGTCACCGGCGAACTCGCCGCTGCCGGCGTTTTCAGCCCGGCGCCTCATCACCATCGTGGTCGCCATCCTCCATAACCCCCGTCCCCACCCAACCACCGCCGGAAACCGCTGCAGCACCGTCGGCCGCTACTGCCCTGCGCGGCGATACTTTCAGCGCCGGTATCTCTCAACACCGGCGTTGGATCGCCGTTTGGCCACCGTCACTGAACTCGCAGGGCTGAGGTGTCCAAATCCACCCCTCGATCGCCGGAATACGCCGCCGGCTCCGCCCCTGACGGTTGGCCTCCCGCACCGTCGCCACCGCGTTTCGGCATCCCCCCGCCGTCGGACCACCATTCTGACGACGGGATCGTGTTCCCCTGGCCGGAAACCCCCAGGCCGGGCTACCGCCGCGAGTCGCCACCTCTACACCACTGTCCGCCGTTTGCCCTAGGTCGCCGTCGCCGTAGCCCTGATTTGCGACACCTTCGGCGCCGCCGTTCTCCCGTTTCCGACGTCGGATCGTCAATCGGCCACCGTCACTGTCCTCGCAGGGTTGAGGAGTCCCTGAACCCGCCACCCGACCGCCGGAATACACCGTTGGGAACCGCCGGTGACTCCCCCGACGGTTGCCCTCCTCCCGACGGTTGACCTCCCGACAGTTGATCTCCCGACGGTTGGCCTCCTGACGGTTGAGTTCCCGAGACGCCGCCTCTGCATATTCCGCCGACTCCGCTGCCCGACCAACTCTCTGGTCCCGATACTGTTCCACCCGACCCCGACATTCACCTTGGTCGGTGCTCCTTGACGCCAGAGCATCCCCCGACTGAGGCCCAGGGATCGCGACTGCTGTTCTCCCGACGGGTGATCTCCCGACTGAGTCCCGACCGAGGCCGTCTCTGGTCCCGTAGGTTGCTCCCGACCGAGGCCCGACCGAGGCCGTCTCTGGTCCCGACGGTTGATCCCGATCGAGGCCGACCGTGGCCGTCTCTGGTCCCGAAGGTTGATCCCGACCGCGGACCGACCGAGGCCGTCTCTGGTCTCGAAGGTTGATCCCGACCGAGGCCCGACCGAGGCCGTCTCTGCTCCCGAAGGTTGATCCCGACCTTGGCCCGACCGAGGCTGTCTCCGGTCCCGAAGGTTGCCCCGACTCGGCGCCTCTCCGACCGTCTTCGCTGCCCGACCACACTCCCGCCCGAGGCCAGGGTTCGTGGTTGTCACTGGTCCCGACGGTTTGTCCCGACTCGGTGCTACCACTGTTCTCCCCGACCCCCGCCAACCCCCAGTCGGTGCCCCGACGCCAGAACACTTCCCGACTGAGGCCCAGGTGTCGCGGCGGTCACTGACCCCGACGTTTTGACATCCCGACACGACGCCCCGCTACTCCGCCCGACCCTGACGCCAGCCCACCCTCCTGGTCCCGCCACTGTGTCGCCCGACCCAGAAGCCCCCAGACGCGGGTTCAGTGCCTGAACGGTGCCCAGACTTCACGGCTGCCTCTGGCCCTTGTCGTCGTCGGTTTCTCTGCTGCTCTGGCGCTCTGAGCGCTGGTCTGACGGCACTGTTGATTCTCTGGCCCTGGCAGCCCCAGAACCCCATCCTTTACCGCCGTCTCCGATGACAGCCGCCGACTCCTTCCGGAGCTAGGGTTCTGCCGTGGATTTGCCGGATATGGCCGCTCAGGTTGCTGCCGGCCGCCAGCCACCTCCCGCCACTGATGGTTCGGGGCGTCCTACCACTGCTGCTAACCATCTCCATTCACACAAGTCTTTCGCCAATGCTGTAACCTCCGGACTCAATTCCGATGTTCCTGAGGACAGTCCTTACTCTTTTCTGGCGGAGCCCCGTCCGGCTCCTATTGGCCAATGGGTCCACACTGCTGGACAACCACGCCTTGCTTTCACTGCTGCCGAAACTGCAAGGTACACGGCTTCACACCCATATATTCTTATCGGGAAATTTTCACATGGGTACTCTTCTTGGAAAGATCTCGCCGAGGGATTTGCGAGTTTTCGTTTGGCAGGAAAATTTGCTTTACAACATTTGAATCATCGACATGTTGTGATTCGCCTAACTACGGAGGCAGACTATACGCGTTTATGGATCAGAGGGACTTGGTTTATCAAGGGATTTCCGATGAGACTTCTTAAATGGACTCCGGATTTCAAAACTACTGAGGAACCTCCGTTTGCCCCGGTGTGGGTAACATTTCCTCTACTTCCTCTCCACATGTTCCATAAAGATATGCTCTTCGCAGTTGCCTCTGGTATTGGGACCCCCTTGAAGGTTGATGGCCCCACGGCTACACAGAGTCGTTGCTCTCACGCCCGAGTCTGTGTGGAGGTTGATCTGTCGAAGCCCCTCCTACATGCTTTTGAGATTGATGTGGGTACTGGTGTGCTTGAGCAGAAGGTCATTTACGAGCGGCTCCCTAGCTTCTGCTCACTCTGCCGCCATCTTGGGCACAAAGCGGAGGCTTGTTTACGCAGACCTTCTTCGCAGCCGGTACCAGCAACCGTATCAGCTGCGCAGGTTCCTCCTGCTGCGCCTTCTGGTCGCCATGACTCGGTGCATGGCCCTTCTGAGATTTCTGCAGCCCCTGCCTCTGGTGATATCATGGCATCCCGGCCACCCACTGCTCGCCGCCGTCGTCGGCGCCGCAATCGAAATCGGGGTACGCCTTCTACTGGTATTACTAATGATTCTGGCTCCTTGCAGGCTCCTTCTCAGTTCCTCCGACGGGACCCCCAGCCTTCTACCCGGCGACCTTCTGATGACATCCCGGGTTTGAATGGCGCCAGACGTCTTCGCTCTGGTGTGCGGGTGACCTTTGGGGAGACACAGGTGGCCCCAACCCATCACAGACGGCCGAGAAGTCACTGCAGCTCACACCGGCGCATCTCAGCGGCCCTGCGGAGCCTCATCGCCCCCATGCTCCTCCTCGGGTGACCTTTGCCCACTCACGGGGGGATGCCTCTGCGATGTTGCTTACCTCTGGTGTCCGAGTTACCTTTGGGGACTTTCTGACGCCTTCGGAAACCTCTCCGGCCCGCCCTCTGGCCGGTCAGACTACAGCTGAGCCTCCGATTGACAGTCCTGCCTCCCCTCTGGATGACAGTCGGCTGAGTCCCACTCCGGCGACTCCTGCCACCGCCTCAGCCCTTGGTCTCCTTCCGCAGCCCATATTGGCCACTCAGGTACCCTCGTCGCCTTTGCCACTGCTTGCTGATGATATGCAGGTGCCTCCGGAGCCTGTGTCGCTTCCTCCTGCTCAATCTTTGGCAATTTGGGGACTCCCCTCTGGTCATGGCCTGGATAAGGGGAAGGCAGTGCTGCTCTCTGAACCTTCTGCATCCCCTGTCAGCGATCGACGTGATCTTTCAGTGGACACATGCCTATCGGCTACTGGTTCTCCTTCCTCGGACACCCAGCGGGAGGAGGACTCTGCACTACAAGCCACTTTCGCCGAGGACTCGGATGGTGACTCGCCTCTTATTAAGGATGGCCAACCGCCCCTCCTCGATTCACTATCTCTTTCCCCGAGAGGTACCACTGATTTTCACTCTGGTGATCTACCTGCTGCTGCAATTACAGGGACAGAGCTCTTCCCTGAATCTGGTCCGAACCCACCCCTCCTGCGGACTTCATCGGAACCGCTCCCTGTTGTCGCTCTGTCGACGGAGTCGCATCCGAGCAGGGGAGTGTGCGTTTTGAACCAGGCTGCTGATCCTCCGTCTCTCAGCGGATCTTTGGAGACAGTTTCGGATGACCGGCCACAGGCTCTGCCGCCGACCTTCTCTAGACCGATTACCCGCAGCATCTCTCGTCAGCAAGTGAGTTCCTCTCGTCGCCCTTCTGCCAGTTCCCG